AACCACTGCGCCACCTCAGCTCTTATTGTTATACAAATGACTGAGTAAGGAAATTCTGTGGTCCTAAAACTGCTGCCAATTATCTAAAAATAAGGTCTGATGCCAATTTTCTTTGAGTTAGTCAGGGAGGAACATAGCAATTCTGTAAGAAAAAATAAATTTATTATAATGAATTATTTTTTGTAATAGTATGAAATATAAGGCATTTTGTTTGGGAAATATTTTAAGTTTGTAATAAAAGGAAGGGAAAGAAGGAAGATGGGGTAATCAGATGGTCTTCCCATTCTCTGCCAGAAATCAAAGTATTCATTGCTGCTACTTTCTTCTCCTTCTCCATATGTTTTCTTTTTCATTCCCATGTCATTTTTACCCTTTTCTTTCTCATTTTCATGACTATCAATTCTTCTAGAAGAGCCAAGGTGGCGCAGTGGGTAGAGTGCAGTACTGCAGCCACTTCAGCTGACTGCTAGTTCTGCAGCTCGGCGGTTCAAATCTCACCGGCTCAGGGTTGGCTCAGCCTTCCATCCTTCCGAGGTGGTTAAAATGAGGACCCAGATTGTGGGGGCGATATGCTGACTCTGTAAACCGCTTAGAGAGGGCTGAAAGCCCTATGAAGTGGTATATAAATCTAACTGCTATTGCTATTCTACAGTCCTTGTTTAAAGTTTTATTACTACATTTCATGATATTTTTATTAAATTTAGATATTTTATTTTAAACAGCCAGCTTTAAGTTGGCTTCTTAAATAAGAACAATCCCTTTTTGTAATGTTGATATTACTTTTCTAATATAATTCTAAAATAATTAGAATCAAGTGTATAATTATATATCTACATTCATTCATTCATTACAATAATTTTACTATATTTTGGAATGTCAGGAATCGGAGACTTATACCTAAGAAATTAAAACAGAAAAAGAAGAAAAGAAATACAGCTTCTTCCCAAATAAAACTTTTATTTATACTTACAAGAAACTGGGTGGATCAGATTTATATCAGTAGAAACATTATTAATAAGAAATCAACTGAATATAGATTATTGATGTGTATTTATTGAATTTGATAATGTTTTATAGTCAAATGGATATAAACCAGACATTTTGCATAAATGTTTTGCAAATCCTATTCACCACAAATGGTCTATAAAATTTGGGTAGTGTGTTTCATATAGTTTTGTAGCCACCAATAGACTTCCAAGAAAAACTGCTTACAGAATTGTAGTAATATCTGATATTCATACATTTGATTTGATTAATCTATAAAGACAACTAAATATAATAGAATGTATTGTAAAAAGATCTTCATGGCACATATTCTTATCAGAATGTTTAAAAATGTATCTATACTATAGTACAATTGACTGAAAATTGATCAATAGTATATTATTAGAATATCTGACCTTGCTATATTACTATTAATTAATTATATTTGTACATTCTCAAGCTCTCAACAAATAAAAGTTCACAAATAAAAAAACATTAAAACCAAATAAAAATGAATAAAAATAAAGAATAGAAGATGGCAAAGATGACCCCCCCCAAAAAAAAAGAAATGGTGAAAAATCTGCACAATTCAATTAGGTGAGGCACTCTTGCCAAAGGTTTGTCAGTAAAGCAGACCCTTTGAAACACCAGCAAGAGGAGGGCCATTCAAATCTCAGGGGAAACATTCCAATAAGTGCTATAGAGGAGGTACATTTCTGGGGACCTGATAGATGGCATTGTTTAATCAAAAGAACCCAGAGTCCATCAACCCTACCAGTTCAAATTGGCCAGGTAGATACTATGGGAGACAGGCAGCCCCTCAAATAACTAAGCCTAATACCATATAGGACTTCATAGGTAATGACCAGCACCTTGAGTCATGTTCAGAAGCAATGGTGATACATGGTAGTCCTCACGTAAGTGCAAATGGGGAAGGAGAGGCTGGATGAGTCACACGCAGGCCACTCTCACCCCAGCTCTGCAATAGCAAAAAACATTGTAGTATGTCACAGTAGGTCACATGACGGAATCAAGTTTTATACCTGTGGGATGGGCAATTCTATTACTAAGCGATGCAGTCATTACATGAGGTTTACATAACCATGCCAGACTTATTATATCATTCAAGTAAATGAGGACAGATACGATATTGTTGCCAATACAGAAACTTGATGGGATGAAACCCACAAATGGAACATAGAACTAGGAGCATTTAAATTATTTAAAAGAAATAGACCAAATAAAAGAGGAGGTGGAATTGCACTATATATAAGGAATAACTACATTTGTACAGAAATAGAGCACAACAATGATGAGAACTATCTTGAATGCATTTGGGTCAATATTAAAGGTTTGCGGAGGGGGAATGACATTGCCATAGGTCTATACTACAGGCCACCCAACCAAGCAGAGGAAGTAGATGAACTTTTTGCTAGTCAGCTAACTAAGGTATGTAGGAAGNGGTATATATAAAGAGCTGTAAAACAGGGCTCAGCTGTTGACAGTTAGCTGAGATGCACGAATTGTGCAGTGCCGCGTTTGGCAACCTGTTACCATTAAAGCTGTTAGCTTTCTGAAGTCCTGGCTCGCCTCCATTTGTCCACCCGTATTCTCCCAGCTAGAACAATTCTATGTTACTATATTCTATGTTCTTAAAAAGAGTTGGAACTTAAACTAAACATTTTCCTCTGTGTTTCTTGCTCTTGTTCAATTAAAGCCTAAATCAGAATACAGAAAAAATTAAGGAAAGCTATATAGGAAATGTTTGTTCCAATGAAAAATTCAGAACAAACAATTAAACAAATAAGACTAAGCAGAAGATTTGTGTATCTGTGTATGTGCGTGCGTGCATACTCGTACTGCATACTCGAGCCTGCATTGAATCCTGGTAGTTGCCAGAGGAAGTTCCTGTAGTTTTCTTTGCTTTCCAGAGCTGAGAGAGAGAGGAACAGGCCCAAAGTCACCTAGCTGGCTTTATACATAAAGTGGGACTATAATTCATGATCTTATTATTTTTAGCCTTATGTTTTAACCACTAGACCAAATTGGCAGTCAGCAAGTTACCGTATCAAACTCTAGTTAAGAATAAACCAAAAATATGTTGGCAGACTCAAATCAACTGTACACATCAGCCAGTGCCTCTGCTTTCCCCTGCCAACAATCTCAATCAGAAAAAAACTAAGGTGAATATTTGGCTTTTAAACTTCTTGCCAATGAATGAAGTATGCTGTCCACAGAGATTTGTGTCAGTTTTATAACATTGTCATTAAATCACAGCCTATAAAGTAATCCAAGGGCGGGGAAAGTGATTTTAAAATAGGATGAAAGGACGTCCTGAAATCCCTTCCAGTTCTGCCTCTTCAACAAATGAAGCTGTTTAACAAGTTCAGTGGAGGAAATGCCAGGTAAGAGAAGCCGTAACAAGTTTGCTTCTGATACTCATTTTGAAATATCCTTTTACCACAGGACTGCTTGATTCTTTAGCTGTTATTTCTAGCTGTTTTTGTAATTATGTCTATGAGTATTTTTTCATATAATGGTGGCTTTGAGTGTCCTTGTAGATAATGATACGTAAGAACTGTAGGTTGGGTTGACAATTAACTTTCTAAGGCTTTTATATTCACCCAACTAGCCA